GTTGGTTCTAGGGTCCTTGCTGTTATTCTTTTATTACTGATGTTGTGTCTTCTGCGATATCCTTTCATAGTATACTGAAGTAGATATCTGTTGTAGCAATGGTGAAGGCTTGTTTTCTCGGAGCTTGGGTTAAGTGGTGTCTGAGGCGGTGGAGGAAGTAGTGTTTTTGTTCGGGTTAGCAGGGCTGTCTTCCTTAGGATCTTCTATGTTTGTCAAGATTTGGGTTACATCTTTAGTTTTCTTGGGTCATTTGGGTCCTACGTGGGTTCATAGAGTTTGAACTTTCACTAGGCCATCACAAGTTTTGATGAGCGATGTTTTTTGAGGAAGAACAGCTGGTAGGATGCCGCTGCTGCCGAGCGGTGAGTGGTGCGTTGCCGAGGAATAGTTTTTAAGGAACTTTTAATGTTGAGAAGAAAGTGAAGTGGTATTTTCATGCACTGGTTCAGGGTGGTATACCATCTTTTAGGAGTGAAGAAAGAGCAGATGTAAGTGTGGGGAGGTACGGTGATGGCATTACGTAAAATAAAAGGGGGGAAAGCAGCTGGAACTGAGGGGATTTAAAAAAAGTTAAAAGCAGGGGGGGTATAGTGTTGGAGTGGTTGGTACTTTTTTTTAATAAATGAAAAAAAAAGGGGAAGGTCCCTTTGGGATTGGGGGAGAGCATGTAATCCCTTAAAATTGAAGGAAAGGGGACAAAAAGTTTGTAAAAATTAGAGAGGAAAAATTTTTATTGAGTATACCAGGAAAAAGGATGGGGGTTATAATTGAAAAAATTAGGGGTAAACGAAGTAGGTTGGAGAGCAAGGGGTTTCAGAGTGGGTGGGGATGTGTGGGTCAGTGTTTTCATTGAACAATAGTGAACGTATTTTTGTAAAGGAGGGAAGTTTTTATTCATTTATGGATTAAAAAAGGCAAATATAGAGTGGATAGGGGGGGCAATGTGGAGATGTTGCAAATATTGGAATAGGTGGTAAGTTACTAAATGCTGTAAAGAGTTTTTTTGAGATGTGGGCTCCCGGTAGGGGGTGTAGAAAGAGGGGGACACTTCCCGGGAAAAGTGGTCTTAGACGGGTTGTAATGTCACCAGGTTTTTTTAAATTTTTTAAAGATGGGGTTGTAAAAGAATAAATCTAGGGGGTTTCGGGAGGGGGGTGGGGATTTAAATTTTGGGGAATCAAATTCAAATGGGGAAATTAACCACGTTTCTTTTTTCGAGAACTGGTTATGGGAGATTCTAAAAAAAAAATTGCAAAGTTAGTGGATGGTTTGGGGAAATTTTTAAAGGTAAAATTGAAATGAACATAAAAAATAAGGTGATGAGGGATCAAAGTTTTGATAAAAAAACTTGGGTATCAAATTGGGGGGGGAGGAGATGGGAAAAGTAAATGGGTTTATGGGGCGGGTGGATTTATAAAGGAGAGGTTTAACAAGAATTGATGAGGGAAAAAAGGTGATGGGGCATTGAGGGATATGTGGGGTCAAAAAAGTTAAAAATGGAGGCAAGAAGGAAAAGTATGAAAGTTAGTAGTCCCAACACTTTATAGGGTGTGAAGCTTGGGTGGTAAAGTAGCACGAGGAGATGTGGAGGCATGGAATGTCCGTCCAAGGGCAATGTTGGTGAAAAAATTATGCAGAAAATTGGGATTGGGGAAATTTTAAAAAGGTGTGGATTTAAAAAAAATTTTACCGAGGGCAAAGGGGGGTTGTTAGGGGGTTTTGGTCAATTAGAGAGAATGGGTCAAAGTAGAATAATGGGAAAACATTAATCTAAGGGGAAAGGGAAAGGCAGGAGAGTCACCTCGAAAGGGTTTTGGGGGGAGGGGGTAAAAGGGGTTTTTTGGGCAAGGGGCTTGGCTTCAGCAAGCTGGTGGCTGTTAATAGGAGTGAAAAAAACGAATGGTCTTGGGACCTGACGACTGTTGGGGGTGTGAGCAGGGGAATATTTAGTGAAGGGATTTAGGAAAACCCGGTTATTTTTATATAGTCGGGCTTGACTTTTGGAAATGGGGGAAATACAATCCTGCCTTTTAAAAGGGGGGGTTTGGGGGTATTGGATTTTGGGGGGATATGTTTTGTATCTTTTACGATATGCTTCTAAACTGTTTTATTCTGGCACCTCTGCAAAAACAGTGATTTTGTTGAGGTGGGTTTAAAATGTTAAAATGATGAAAGCATTTTCTTTTTGGGGATTTTTTTTCTTTTTGGGTCACCCTCCTCGGTGGGAGACGGCCAACTTCTTGAAAAAAAAAAAAATTAGGGCTTTGACAGGGATGCTGATTTTCCAGGTTTTTTAATATGCGTGGTCCCCAAATTTTCGTCCATAACCGTTCCGGAAATGGGACAATCGAAAATGGACATTTTAAAAAAAATTTTCCCCAAAGAAAGATGTAATTTTAAATTTAAACCTTCCTGACACCCAAAGATTGAAACAAAAAATTTTTTTACATAAAATAGGGGTAGTAACAAACAATCAAGGAAATGATGAAAGAAACAAACAGCTAAACTACCTTTAAATTTGGGGATTTTTTTTTTGGTAGGAAGACTGGAGGGAAGGGGAATGGATATTTTCGTTTGGAAAGGGAATCCCCCTTTCCCTCAACACCCCGGGTACCAATTTCTTTTTGGGGGTTCTTCTCTTCCTGCTTCTTAATGCCCCTAGGACCACCTTGAATCACTAGAGTCCTGTCTCCAAAAAAACTTTCCCGAAGCTCTGTTTCTGGCATCTCTTTAAAAATTTCCCTAAAAGGGGCCCAAAATCTGTCACTGTACAAGTTCTGAATGGGTTTCAAAGTCCTTCCTTTGGGGGATGTTTCTCCATAAACTTTCCACCACCCCACATTCAAAATCTCCTTAAAATTTTTGAAAAAGGCCCCTTTCCCCCATCTCTCTTCCTCCCCCTTGCGCAAGATTCGAGCTGCGATCATTCTCTTCCCGCTGAAGCTCTTGCAGCTCCTCAGTGGGTTTGCTCTTTGTTGTGGTCCCCACCAAAATCTTCCAATCCTAAACTCACATCCAACCCCCCTTGGGAAATCCCCCAGTGCGCAATAAGTTTAAACGACAAGGCCACGGGGGTGCCTCAAACCCTTTAAAAAACCCCCTTTTGGACAAACGGTCACAATTTTCTCCAAACAAATTCAAAGTCCGGTAGTCACTCCCTCCCCAAGCCTTTAACCCCAAAGGCTTACACAAAGGGGAAAAACTGAAGTTTCTTTCCAAAAATCTCGTAGGGGCAAGTGAGTGTTAGGTCACAACCACCTTTTAAACTTGCTTTGGTGTAGAGTTTTTTGAAGTTTGAAAAGACTTCTGGAGGGGAGGAGTGGTATTCGGGGGGGAAGAATTTTTCTGTATGAAACCCCAAAATCCTTCAGAATTAGGTCATCCCCGTTGGAGATGACAGGTGCATTGTCCCTTACTAGGAGGCACTTTAGTCCTTTTCTTTTCAAAGGAATTCTTTACATAGGGCAAAACACTTCTTTAACCACTCGCGAAAATCCTTTTGGGCCTAGCCCTTTTATAGATC